GCTGCTCATGTCGGCGGGAGAGAGAGATGTGAGAGAGGGCAGGAGTTTAGGACCAGAGGGTGGGAGAAGCCCCCTCAGGAGAGAAGGTGGCCGGGACTACGTCGTGGGTGCCACAGGGGGCAGGTGGCCTTGGTCAGCGCGGTGCCCCGAGCCAGGCCCTGGTCTCCCAGGACCCATCCAGGTGCAATGCTGTCGTGGCCTCACCTTCCCGGGCAGGGGACAGTCCTGACCAGAGCTTAGGAGAAATGTTAGGGACACCCTTCCTGACTCCCAGCTCTGTCCCTGTCCCAAAGGGCCCAGCAGGACCCAGGGTAGCTGCCCTCCTCGGAGGGGACAGGATGTGGGTCTGGGTCCCTAAGGCACCTTGCCTGCGGTGGGTGGTGGAGGTGCATTCCAGCCCCTTGGGCATAGGACAGAGCACGGCGGCCTTCACACGCGTCCAGGCAGCACCGCTCTCCTGGACCCCTCTCCTTTCTCTCTGCAAACCCACCTTTCTTCTTTCAGACCCTGGGCTTGAGTCCTCCTCCTCCAGGATGGCTTCCCGGATGACTCTCATCTTTCCCTTCGTTTCTGTCTTTTCTTTTTTAAAATAGATTTTTATTGATTTCAGAGAGGAAGGGAGAGGAAGAAAGAGAAATATCAATGATGAGAGAGAATCATTGATCGGCTGCCTCCTGCATGCCCCCTACTGGGGATTGAGCCCACAACCTGGGCATGTGCCTTGACCAGGAATTGAACTGGGGACCTTTTAGTCCGCAGGCCGACACTCTATCCACTGAGCCACACTGGCCAGGGCTTTCCTGTTGTTTCTTTACTCCTGGCATCCTTCCCCCGAGTCAGGCCAGCACCAGCTCTGCCTGCAGGGATCAGACCAACCCCCGGCCCTGGCTGACCGGCACATCCTCACAGTCCCAGCCGGAACCTGGCTCTGGGCGCTGATGCCGCCTCCGGGAGGACTGGAGTCGGCAGGGCTTTGTGCTAAAGCCCTCGAGAGGGACTGAGGTGCCTGTCCTGGCACCGGCATCGGCCTGGAGTACAACCTGGGCAGGCCCGCCCTTCCCAGGTCTCCTAAGCCTCCTTTCTCCTCTGCAAGATGATGGGTGGGGGGAGGGGAGGGCAGATGGGCTCTAGAGTCCCTCTCACTTCTAACCAGGCAGGGCTTCGTGTCCTGGGACGAGCAGGACCTCCCGTCTGGGCGGAAGAAGAAACCTAGCGGCGTCTGAGACCCAGAAGCAGGGACAAGGGTGGCCACGGGCAGGCCCAGGAAAGGTAAGTCACGGGTCGCATCCTGACGATCACGGGGACCGGCTCTGGTTCTGTCGAGCTCAAGAGCAGGCGGAGGGAGACGCTCCA